AATATATAGCCAAGCTGTAATGTTCCTAAATTCTACTCAAACCTTTGTTTCTTTGAATAGAACTTTAATGTCAAGTGTTTAGAAAAAGATTGGCCCCGTTTTACAGGCCATACAAGGCATGCATAATGACATCAACAGCACCATCTGTAATGTAGGTTATCTGATTTCTTGTCCCTCAAGAAAGGTACACGACAAGGCTGCCCCACATCTGCTGTTCTCTTTATCCTCACAGTAAAAATTACAGCTGTTAAGATAAGAAGTGCTCAGGACATAGAGGGAATTCAAGTTAAAAGTGACCCGTGTAAGGTAGAAATCAAACTCTCACAAGTAGCAGATGGCACCACCCTATTAGTCTCTGATGACACATCTATGGAAATTGCATTTAGACATGCACAGAATTTCTGTACCCAGCCTGGAACTGAATATAAGTACAAGCAAAGGTTTATAAATAGGAACATACATAAATGGATAAGACCAGCCCAGGGTATCTCCAGGTCATTTCAACTTCCCTTGGTATCTACTTTTCTGACAAAACTGTACACCGTGAATGTGAACTGCTGAAGAAGAATACACATTCGGAAAGGTAGAAACCTAGGAGGAAACGTCAGAGAATCAGAATTCCTTAGTCCCAACGATAATTACCCGATCTCGGGTAAGGGAGACTGTAAAAAAAAGAAATGTGTACATTTTTGCTGAAAGAAAGAGGGACAATATTAAAAGTAATGTTATTGAATTCGTTGGCCTAGGCCTGAAAAAAACTAGAACATCAGAAACAATCCTTACTTGCATCTTGGGTAAAAGGATAAGATGCCAGCTGGAAATTAATTGCTCTGACATACATGGAATCTTTTGTTCTAAAAAAACCTGTTGCTTCATATGAATCTCCTCTGTAAAAAGGATGGACCAGACATGTGTAAACAAGACATGTGTTAACTGTTTTTTTTAAACGGGTAATAATATATTTCTACTCTGCCGGCTGAGATGGGAAAAACAATCCTTGTATTTTTAATGACAAAATGTCGAGCATTATTTTTGTCAAACGTATATAGGATCACAGGGTAACACTGTTTTCTTTTCTTAGGCAAAGAAAAGGCACAATATCTATAGAAGATCCTTTCCCCTTTAGCAAGTCCATGCCCCTAAATCACTGCCCTCAGCTCATACATACACAATACCAAATGGTATCATTTAATATGTAACACGTTTTTTAGGGATCATATATGCCCAATCCTTGTCAACATTATACCTCAGCACCTTTACCACACA